TGCGTAAGATAAAATAAACTAAGTTCATACCTTTGGTGGCACAAGTTTCCCTTGGTGTAAACGGTAAAAGCGGTGGATCGAACATCTCAAAATTCATCACCTTTACTTTCTGGTAAGGGAAAGCAGATGAGCAATTTTTCCAGGATTTGCAGTAAGTCTGCTTTCTTCAGCTGTCGTATGTAAAAAGAGTAGAGTATCTTTCAAGGGCCGGGCATACTTCACGCAATTTCAGTCGCGACGCGATTTGGCAATATTCCAATTGTTCATAACTTACTGAAAGCACATTTTAAAAGTATAGAAGATATCACTTTTTTTATCAACTCACGTATTACACACACTATGCATGTGCAGTTTCTAGTGTTGTATCTGAAAATTTCTGGCGAATTGCCAAATCGCGTCGCGACTGAAATCGCGTGAAGTATCCCGGCCCTTGAGAGATACTCTACTCTTTTCACATACGACAGCTGAAGAAAGCAGATTTACTGCAAATCCTGGAAAATTGCTCATCTGCTTTCTCTTACCAGAAAGTGAAAGTGATGAATTTTGAGATGTTCGATCCAAAACGGCATGCAGGACCTACAAAGATGACAGATCATTGAAAGTTAGACGTGCGTAGAGTTATGACGAAACAAAAGAGCATGAACAAGCAGTTTTTGGTCAAATTTTAGCAAGTATGGCACGGTGGGACCCAAGCGGGATCCAGAAATTCAATTTGTGTTCCTTAACATACATCACATTGAGGTGACACAAGGATGACTGTACTATAGATATACTTTAGATAGGTATCGATATAATAACAGTTACCTATCCTTCAGTAGGTGATAGACAGGAATGAAGCACCTTAAACTTTAGCTTATCAAACTTTAAGCTTATCATTATGATGGAGGTAGTCTTGCTTGCAAAACAAACAAAACAGGACTGTTTTGCTACTTGCAAAACAGCTCTGCGGAAGTTCCCTTGAATTTAAATCCTCGGGAGGGTCGGCATTTTGCAGAACTTTCCGAGGACTTCCTCGGGAAGTTCCTAACTGCGTTGCTTTTGACGTCAAAATTTTCGGGAAGTTCCCATTTTTACGGCTGTATTCACTCACGTGCTAAATGAAACCCTCGGGAAGTTTGGCAAATTGGCTTACCCCTCGGGAAGTTCCCGTGATTTGTCTGAGCATTGTAAGATCATTTTCTCATAAACATGTAAGTCGGGCGGTAAAGTTCATGTACATTTCTCGGCGAAAAGGATCCGGTGTTTCAAGTCAGCAAGGAAAACATGTCCTATCACATTTTCGTCGCAGGTATGGAAAAGGATGGTAAGTCTCAACGCGTTGGGATCAAGTAGCCTAATTCCCGGGCGGGACCGGGGACGCCATTTAGTTAGCTAAAAACAGATTTCATTTAATTCGTTTAGATGATGTTTCGCATAATCAGATATCATTCGTTCTGTAAAATTTGTCATATCACAGAAATTTTTTTTCAGAATTCAGGAAAATCACACTCCACCTGTAATTTTGTAGATACGCTTTGAGAAAAGAGGTTTTGTTTTGCTTTTAAGACTACTACCCTCAATACGAATCGATCTGTAACTCAATCGAATTTGCGTGTGCACTTGTCGTAAGATGTGTTCACTCAGAGGATCATACCTAAGGTATTCTAGATTGATTCACATTCCAAAGTTGGATATCCAGGAAACACTCGATCAAGGCCCGACACAGATTGTCTTAAAGCAGGCTGGACTTCGTTTTTAGAGCGAAAAGCAAAGAAGATATCGTTTTTGAAGAGTAGGGGCCAAGCACCAAGATAAAGCGCCATTTAGTCGAACACAAGCTTTTCGGACAGGTTATCACACGATTGACATGCTCTATCATCAGGGTCAAGCGTGGGGTACGGCACGCCACACCTGGGGGGTCGTATTGAGGAGTCAAAAGGGGAGGGGGTCGTAGTTGGGTAATCTGATAATAGTGATAGCATGATATTCGTATCCTATCCATAATTAGCATGTCAAATAACCCCTGTAGAGAAAGTGTGAGCGAATTCTGAAGATTCAACTACCGAAGTGAAATGGTCAAATTCCAACATGGTTAACTTTGTTTCAAAGGTGAATTAGCTATCCGTTTTTGCACTCAAGACAAAGCACTACTCCTTCTTTGTCCACCTCAGGAATCCCGCTTCAGAAGACCTCCAAACTCTGAAATTAGAAGCCAATCAAAATCTCGTTTTTCCCATTTTTCGCTTTTGATCGCTGTGCTTTCACCAAATATTACTCAGAGCTACGAAGACGAATCAGGCTCCGAACAGTCCTATGGAATCTACAAGGTTTAGGTTTATCGACACATATAAATACTGTCCGCTAAAATTGTTTTTTTTTGATATATTAGGTTGTCCCGAAAGTTTTGTCCGTTTTCTCAACCTATCATAAAAACGCGTGGAACGTAGATAAGGGAACGCTCTAAGCACTATCCGACGCATCTTTTCCTTCTCTTTCTAACTGTCAAGCCCATATGTCGATTACTCTTTTGCTCACTGAGATAAACGCCGAAAGTTCGAACCCATAGTTTTTACTATGTCCAAGTTTGGAAATTTTTCACAATCTTTATTTTTGACTTTCGGAAGAGCTTTGGTAACAGTTAGATAGAGCAAACAAAGGGCAATATAATGCAATTTTGCGGCATCTATAGCCGGCTTTGAAAATTTTTTAGAATTTTTTTTCTGATGCTATGAAATTCCACTTGTGGTGATGCCAAAAGCCAGAGATCATGAAACGGCGCACAACTAAGGTGTTATTCGATGCAGCTCTTCCTCCTCTTTTCAGTGATTGTATTTTTTCTCCAATTTGCGGGGTCTTTGGCGATAAAATTTTCATAATTCTTGAATTTGACCCCACCCCAGCGCGTACACGTAAAATGCAAAATCTTATATTTAGAAGCGGTAAATGCTCATTTGCTTCGTAAAAATAGTGAGTAGTCGTAATCGGTTTTTGAAAGCTTCAAAATCCGATGATTTGTTAGTGTGTTCGAGGCGTTCTGTATTTTAGAACTTCGCAAAAGTGAAGACTTTTGAAAAAATTAGCTTTGAAAATATTGAAAAGCCAGCTAGATAGGCCAAATAATTGCATTGCGTTGCCCTTTGCTTACTCTATCTGAGGGCTATCAAAGGTCTTGCAAAAGTTGAAAATGAAGATTGTGAAAAATTGTCAAACTTGGACATAGTAAAAACCATGGGTTCGAAATTTCGGCGTTTATCTCAGTGAGCAAAAGAGTAATCGACATGTGGGCTTGACAGTTAGAAAGAGAAGGAAAAGATGCGTCGGGTAGTGCTTAGAGCGTTTCCCTATCTTTGTTCAACGCGTTTTTATGATAGGTTGAAAAAACGGACAAAACTTCCGGGACAACCAAATAGTTAATGGGGTGCGGCACACCCCCTCAAAAGCTGCGGCGGCCGCAGCTTTTAAGGGGGTGTGCCGCACCCCATTAACTATATCAAAAAAGCATCTTTAGGAAATCTTATTGATATGAATCGATAGCCTAAACCTTGTAGATTCTATAGGACTGTTTGGAGCTTGATTCGTCTTCTTAGCTCTGAGTAATATTTGGTGAAAGCACAGCGATCAAAAGCGAAAAATGAGAAAAACGAGATTTTGGTTGGCTTCTAATTCCACAGTTTGGAGGTCTTCTGAAGCGGGATTCCTGAGGTGGACAAAGAAGCAGTGCTTTGTCTTGAGTGCAAAAACGGATAGCTAATTAACCTTTGAAACAAAGTTAACTATGTTGGAATTTGACCATTTCACTTAGGTAGCCTAGTATCTTGAATTTTCAGAATTCGCTCACACTTTGTCTACAGGGGTTATTTGACATGCTAATTATGGATATGCTGCCCATTATGTTTGACAGGGCCTTCAAGTAATGCTATCTTAAGTGTATAGTTCAGGGGGGGGGGTCTTATTAAGACAGCAATCAGGGGGGGGGGGGTTGTAACTCGCGATCGTGTGCCACACCCCTTGCTTGACCCTGTCTATCATGTATGGCGAAAAGTGCGCGGGATTTGAAAGCGGGGCTAAAATAAACAAGTTGCTTGTTCACAGCGCATGCAAATCGTATGGCACCAAAATTGAACCGTATACATGGAAAATTATTTGCAAAAGAATTTTGGAAAAGATTTGAAAACCTAGTGGAATATTACTTTTCCAAATTTAGTCCGTCTTCAGACGGTCACCAGACAATCTGAAATCATCTGTAGCATATATTTGCACTGCAGATAAGTTTTGAATTCTTCTATGATGTACGGATTCCTCGGTCAAAAAGCTATACCTGAGCGTGAAGACATTTTCATACCTACGCCTTTCCTCTGTTTTTGCCTTAATTCTACAAAATTAGCTTTGTTAAATATCGCGCTCCAATGCCAAACACTTGTGCATGCGTATTCAGCTCCAACTTGGATTTTCAATCTTATCTCACGTTTTTTTCTTTCAGACTAGTGAATTTTTCTTGTTTTCATCTTTTCCTGAACAGGTAGGTCAAAGGGACTTGGTAAAACTCCCGAAAGTCAGGGGAGACTTCGTTTTCAAAAACACTAGAAACCGACTCGTGCCGGGCGTGCACTCATTCGGTCATTCGTATGTAAATGTAAATTAGCAAATCTCTTGGATTCCACTATCAATCTTTACGTCATCAATTTAAGAATAAAAGAATACAAGATTCTGTGAGTAACATGCTTCTCTCTAGCTTACAGTTTTATGCCTTCCTATGCACAAGCCCGTGAATAAATGTTGAAGCTGTAGTGCAGAAAACCCATCCATCTGACGATAGGCGGAGCTAACGGTGCGCGATCGACACTTGCCTGCCTATGCGCGCACTATCGTAAAGTCCGCCACTTTTTGTAAGTTCTATACATGCAAGAATATGATCTAGAGGGAATTGTAAGCGTGTTTGAAATTGAAGTAGTCTTACGTTTACCACGAGGGAATGCCGAACAAAAACTTTATCGTATTTACAGTTAAATACACAAACATAAGCATTTTCGGAATCAATTAATTGTTCTGTATGTATTCTAATTATTGGAGACTAAGGTGGCGGAGGAGGGGGAATCGCGAACCTGAAATTACAATGTACGTTGCGACTGTTTGTAATGAAACAAAAGCTAAGAAAAGCCTATAACTTTGCATCAAACAGACAAATAAAAACGTTCTCATGTACTAACAAAAACATTCAGGAATAAACTATTATTTTACAGCTAAATGTTTTCCCTCCCCTCTCCCCAACTCTGTTCCAGATTCTCCTCTTCAGCGAATTCTTCAGATTGCGTGTACGCAGAATGACGTTCCTTTCGGATGATATAGCCAATTATTATTACAACGTTTTATTCGGCCACGTTTCGGCTTGTTCACCTTCTTATAGCCTTTTTAATTGATCAATAGAGACCATCATTCACTGCGAGGCGCAATGGATTCCATCCTTAGCGCTCAGCAGTTGGTGGTCTTTATTTTATGGTTAGTGACGTCTATTATAACAGTCTTGGTGTAGCTATGTCAGTCAAAATTATATATATATATATATATATATATCAGTGGCGTACCCAGGATTTCGGCTCGGGGGGGGGGGGGACAAAAATTTTTTTTAATGAAGGTGCGTGGCGTCAGCCACGCACTCCGAAAAATTTTTTGGGATGCTTCCCAAAAGTTTTCCGGGCCCTGACCCCAAAATTTCAGAAAAAGAGGGCGGGCCGAAGCCACGCTCCCGAAAAAAATTTTTTTACAAGGCTAGTTTGAATTTTTAAGAATTTTTAAAAATTATTTCAATTATTTACAAGTGTAAACAAGTCCTCTCCACATTTTTGTAATACATTTGAGTAACTTTCAAAAATTTCGCGACCCATTCTCGGGGGGGGGGGCTATACTACACACTATACGCCTATACTACATATACTAGCTGGCTTACCTGGCTCCTCCCGGCCCTGTCAAAACAATATGATAAAGCTTTCATCCCTATCCCTTTACAACTTCTCCCTGTGCCCACATGCCAATTCACTACAACTGTTTTAGTAAACAGCATGCTCGATTACCCCCCCCCCCCCCCTGTGCCAACTCTCTCCTCGTAGCTCACTTTTGCAAAAAATTGATAAAATTGATAAAAGTAGCGAATAATTCCAAAAACTACTATTGTATTCGTAATCAGCATGCTCGATTACCCCCCCCCCCCGTGCCAACTTTCAGCTCCGTTGCTCAAACTTTGCAAACATCGATAAAATCGATACATTCGATATCGATCGATGACGAAAAGTAGCCTATGACACCTGCCCGGCCCCGAAGTGTATGTGTGTCAAATTTGGTCCGGATCGGTTCAGAATTGGAATTTTCTATTTGGAGTATACGTACACATAAGACATACAGACAGACATACAGACAGGGCTCGGCACGAGCTGGCACTAGGGAGTTTTCAAAACGAAGTCCCTTTGATTTTCGCTAAGTTTTACAAAGTTCCCCTTGACCCTAAACCCTAAACCTGAAAAAACCCACAAAAAAGGAAATGTTAACTAAAAAACGTCGCAATTTGTCGACAAAAAATATCCCCTTTGCTTTTTGTCTCAAAAACGATATCCAGCTTGCCCCGTGCGCTAGTGCCAGGCCCTGCATACAGACAGATATACAGACAGACATACAAACAGACATTCAGCTTCATATATATAAGATATATATATCCTATTATAATAACGCGCCTAAGAGTGTTCACGTGTTTTTGTGTGTCTGTCTGTGTGAATGTCTGTCTGTCACGAAATTCATATCGCGAGATGCAGCCAACGTCATGAAGTAGAATTTTTGTCATAGCATCCCACCAGCATGTAGGTAAAGTGTGCAAAAGTAAAAGCCGATCCAGTAAGCGGAACCATCAAAAAATGCGCGTCAAACGGGTCCACGCGAATTCTGGCCCGCCAAAATGGGTCGCTAATTGGACTTCTCGATAAGTTGTGGATTTTTCAACAAGTAAATCCGAGAAACATTGACTTCAGCCCAAAAATTGAGCAAAAAGCCTACTCGTACCTAAAAATGGCGCCGAAAAGGTGTAACTGCGCAAATTGTCAATGCCAAACTTTTATTTCAAAAGTTGAAAGAATTTTCAAATAGAGATGTAGCCAAGATGATTGTTATCCTTATGGCGACTTTGAAACCGAAATATTAGGTTGTCCCGAAAGTTTTGTCGGTTTTTTCCAATCGCTATAGAACCACGCACAGTAAAGATGTGAATGAGCTTCAAGATGCATTCGATGCAGCTTTTCCTTCTCTTTCTTAACGTTATATTTTCGAACCACAGTCCTGCATGCGTTTTTTGATAATTGCCACAATTCTTCACCCGCCATTTTTATCTGCTCAAAGTTCGGCTAATTTTCAAAAATTTCACTCCAAAGTTTCGGGAAAGGTTAAGTATGGCTCAAATAGAGCAATTCTAGGACTTTACGATGATATTTTTAGATTCTTCTTATCTATTGTATTTAGCTTCAAAAAATTATTTCTTTGGAGGTCTTGATTTTTGACAAAGTCATGAAACGTGCAACTGCAGCAACAACATGAAACCTTTTGAAGTTTCTCCGAATTAAAATTTGATTGTTATTATGCATTATTTATGCAACATAACCAAGTTCAAATTGCTTTGAAAAAGCATCTTTTTGGAATTTTCGGTGCTTAACGTGGTAAACTTATTCAAAAAGCCGCGGTTTTTCTCAAATAAATAACTATAACGGAATTAATAAACGGGGCCCGCGTAATCTAAAATAGGTGCCATGTAGCGAAAGGTTTGCTCTACATAACAGTCACCAGCGCTCTTCGAAAATATCAGAATAAAAATTTTTAAAACTCGGGAAATATTTAGCGCTATCGCTGAGGTGCTCAGAAAGCAATGACGATAACATCGCAAAGACGGGGTAGATTAGAGAGCAAATACAGCAGTAAGAAAAAGGATAAAAATCTAAGTAGAATGGTACCTGAATCGTTCATGGATTGGTGTTCTGTGAGTTTTGATGGGCGATGAAAAAAACCGACAAAACTTTCGGGACAACCTAATAATTTCAATAACTCATTCAAAATCGCATCTGTTCTTCTACGGAAAATTTCTTCTCCCAAAATTACCAATCTCACATGGAAAAGCTTCAAAAACGAACGGTTGTTTACAATTCATTCGTGATGATCGGCATCGCGCGGTGAGTTTCAAAGTCGTTATTATGCGATCACGATAAAGGCATACGGATAGTAGAGCCATTGCGAACCTCTGCGAAGCAGAGGGGACGCACTGGTGTATATATACAGGGTGTTCCAAAAAATGTATCGAACGTTTGATCGTCAATATCTCTCTTCCCAAGAAGTCTTGTGCCTTGCTTCAGGTATCGTTTTGTAGAGCTGGCTTCATCTTAGATTTGCATTATAGAACGAATCACCCATCCCTCTTTTTTACTGTAGGATTACGGTAGAAACTTGAAACATATGGTGTCAATGCGGAAAAAGCTGCCGTTCAAAATTTTTTAAAAAATTGTGTAAACCTCTGTAATAGGGTTTTTATGGACGCTGAATTTAATACTCAGCTATTCACAAGATTACGAAGCTTTCTAAACGGTGTAACCGCACTTTTTAGGAACACTGAAAAAATGGCCGCTACCTCTTACCTGGCATAACTCTTCAATGAAGCATCATGATAAGTTGGGACTTTACTATTATAATCAGCAACTCTAATTAGCCTAGTGTAGAAGCTTTCAGGCTGTTTTGTTTCCTTTCTGAGGGAAAATATGGCCTTTCATTGCTTAAAACCCTCTTTGAAGTTTCTACCGTAATCCTACAGTAATAAAGGGAAATATCCTACAGTAATGAAGAGAAATGAGTGATTCGTTCTATAATGCAAATCTAAGTTGAAGCCAGCTCTACAGATTAGTACATGAAGCAAGAGAAAAGACTTTTTCAGAAGAGAGATATTAACGATCAAATGTTCGATACATTTTTTGGGACACCCTGTATATACCTATATAACTCAAACTTTGTAAGTATGCTCGTTTAGTTGTTCGTTCGTTATAGAAACGCCCGTCAATGAACCGACTGAGCTGGCACTTTGCACACATATGTATTCGACCCCGGAGGTGGTTTAGTGCTACTTTTGCGTGATTCGCTGGGCCAGTCTATCGATCTATTGATTATTGACATAAGACTGAGTTCTCAACACATGGGCTAACAAGTCAATTCCATTATTTTGTGTGAACAACAGCAGTAGAGTTCATTCGATTTTCGCGGTGAGAAGGATGCGGTAATTCAAGACGAGCCTACAGCGGTGAGTTACTTTAATACAGAAACCCCTTGTAGCGCAGCATAGTGGCTAGGTGAGAAGGGGAGGCGGAGGGTGGGGGTGTGGCTGGAGCAAGGGTCAGCTGACGTGGCCCGGGCTAGACAGGGAAAACCAGCTATTATCTTGATAATGCCATGATTTATGGAAAGTCGATCATGGAAATGTCATGTTAAGTCTGACGTCTTCAACGGAGCTCAATTTGACTCGTTTCAGAAAAGGAAAAATCATATGCTCAGCGCTTGTACATAGATGAGATACACGTGTATCATTTAACCGCCTGTTGGGGAAGGAAAACACTCGATAAACTTCCCATATCAACCCTCATAAAATACTTTAACCTTATCTGGAAGTCCGGCTATGGCAGCTTGAAATTTACGGAAAAACGAATTATGAATTATGATCACAAATACCAAAAAAGCGGCAGAAAATAAATCTTCTTCGAATTACGTTTTTTCGTGTTTCACTCTTACGCAACTAAAAAGATAATGTCTTTTTTGCTGAAATTAACTATAAAAAAACAGTGCAAGCCCCTGGGACCTTGGAGCAAAAGTGTATATATCTTAAGACAGTAACGGTGTTTCGACCTATCAAATATGGTTGACTAGTTTTTCTTTCTGATACTATGCTAGGAATTACCCTTTGCTCCGACCAGTCGGCTGCTGGAAGGCGGCTCCGTGACCTAATTGAGACTAGAAAATGATCAAAGAGCATGTTCGCGAAGGCTGCGTTGCGGACGCGAGCCGTCGCCATCAGGTCATGAAGTCCCGCCTTCCAGCG